ACTTACTTTTAACTTTATTAGCTTTAAACTTAATCAACTTGAAGTATTTAAAACTAAATGCTTACTAAATGAATTGCTTATTTAATTTCTTCTTCATTATTGATATCCTTTTATATTTACTAATACAAACTGTTTTAAATACAAGCTTTTTAACTTATCTATATTGATATACATACTTTAATATGCATATACAGTAATCCTTCTTAATATTTTTTATATATATGTTAACATATTTTTTAACACTGAATTCAAGTTATCATCTTCTTAAATTCATGAACTAGCTTCTAAAATATGTTATTACTTATATATTGATCACACACTAGTTCAACCCAACCTATATTCTCTAGATATTACACTAAAGAGTTTATACCCAAATTATTTAATGAAGTTAGTATGTATATAATGTATCTTGGTTAAATTAAATAAAAACTAGATCTAGTAAACTGAATACTAACAATATAATTAGAGTTTATAAAAAAACTTTATCACATTTTTAGTTCTAAGTGCAACCATCTTAATTAGGTTGGTATTATGAAACTAGTTAAATGACAGTATTTTAGAAGGCTGTTATGTTTTGACAATGATTTATTTAATTTATTTTTTAATTTTTTTTCATAATATATTACACAACTGAACAATTTGAAAATAGATTGTTCAACCCTGTATATGAAGTATGACTATGCATATATACGTTTATGATTACTTTTTATTCTTGCCTTTATTACTAATTTTCTCATCCTTGATCATTACTTTTCTAGTTTCGCCAGTTTCACCACCTTTTAGCAGTTTCGCCAGTTTGCCATTTCGTATTTTGAATTTTTTTGGAAAAAGTCTAATCTAGTTTCGACTTTCGCCTATGGCGAAACCTCTAGGTTCGCTAACAACACTAAATCCAATAACACCGAATGCAAAAATTTATCGAATTTGGCCGATCAATTTTTATCAATTGTCCCAGAACTTATGAGAACAGCTATAATTTAGTTTGTTCAATTTCGCCACCTTTCACCAGTTTCGCCACCTTTCGACAGTTTCACCATTTTTTTTTCTTTGTTTAAAATCGAAATTAAGTTTTGACTTACGCCAAAGGCGAAACCTCTATGTTTCGCCTAACAACCCTACGTGTGACCATTAATCTACCTCAAATTATTATGTAAAGATCACACATCTGATGACATGCTCCACTCATTATATTTTCCGCATTATTCAATTTCACAAATTCGATGCCGACTAAATGGAATGAAAATGAATCGATTATGAACATAAAAAACATACATATACAAAGTTTAAAGGCAAACCTAAAAATTTACGAACAATTACGTATTAAGGCTCCAGTCTATAAATCTCACCGTTTTAATAGGTAATATTGCAACGTTTCACAACATTTGCACATTTGTTATAAAATCCGATTTGCCGTAGTACTAAATTCATAATCCTTTCAAAATGATAATGTTGCCGAACGAATGCCTTTTTGAAATATTTAATAACCTTAGAGCTAATCGTAAAAGCTTATTTTCATGCCTTCTCGTAAATCGTCGATGGTGTAGAATTATTATACCAATATTATGGCGTAAACCTTACTTTCGTGATGCTGGACTTATAAGAACTTATCTTTTAGCGTTAAATGCAGAAGAACAGGCTCAATTGATTCCTTTTAAAATTGTTCTTCCAAAATATCCAAGACCATTATTTGAGTATGAAAGTTATATTACATTTATTAATTATGATTTGGCGTACGGAATCGAAATTTGGCTTAAAAATGAAGGATATAATATTGAAATTTTCGAAAAAGATGAATTTGCAAATACTATCGAATGCACTTTAATTCTAATGTTTTTACGAGCAAGTAAAAATATTAAACACATAACACTTGACAATATTATTAGTAAGACAATATTAACATATTCACTTTGTAATAATAATACTCTGACTTCTTTGAATCTTAAAAATTATAATCTTGGACCAGAAGGAGGAAAAGCATTGGCAGATTCACTTTACAAGAAAACCGCACTGACTTTCTTGGTCCTTATTAATAATAACCTTGGATCAGAAGGAGGAAAAGCATTAGCAGATGCACTTTGCAAGAACATTGCATTGACTTATTTACGTCTTAATCATAATAATCTTCGATCAGAAGGAGGAAAAGCATTAGCAAGTGCATTTTGCAAGAACACCACTCTGACTTCTGTAGATCTTGATAATAATAATCTTGGATTAGAAGGAATAAGAGCGTTATCAGATGCACTTTGCAATAATACCACTCTGACTTTTTTGAATCTTGCAAATAATAATATTGGAACCGAAGGAGGAAAAGCGTTGGCTAATGCACTTTACAAGAACACTACGCTTACTTATTTGGATCTTGAAAATAATAGTATTGGAACAGAAGGAGGAAAAGCATTGGCTAATGCACTTTGCAAGAATACTATACTGACTGTGTTGAAACTTAACTGCAATAATCTTGGACCAGAAGGAGGAAAAGAATTGGAAGATGCACTTTGTAAGAACAATACTCTGAAAACTTTATGGATTTGGGGCAATAATATTAATTTTATTGTAAAATTCAATAATTCGGAAATAATTATATATCAATAAATTGTATTTAGTGTAAACGTAAATGTATTTGAACATGATCTTAAATCATGTAACGCAATGAAATGTAAAATAATTTGTAATAAAGTTAAAATTTAAAGTCTCAAAGGATATACCATAGTGCATTAACTAAAAGACCTGGGTCTAAAATAAAATACTTATAAGATACCCGGGGTATTTTAACATTATAACTAATAATATTAGTCATAAGATTTTCGCAAATCATGTGATCTTATTGCAAAACTAAGAAAAAAACTTTGCTAAGGAAAACATTTCGTTATTAGGTTAGGGTTAGGATATTGAAAGTAGGTTAGGGTTGAGGTTATAATCATGCCAAAATTTGCAAGAAAAATGTTGTGTAAATGTCGCATCTGAAGTAGCGATTTATCTAAAGTAGCCACTTTATATATTTAAAGTAGCGCCCTGGCTAAAATTAAAATCTAATGTGTGCATGAAGATCTAATTTCAGGGGCTTAATTTTAGTCAGGCGCTACTTCAAATAAATCGCTACTTCAGATGCGACATTAATACGCAGAAGGCAGTTTAATAAGCAAAATTTCGAGCTTTGAACGATTTTTGAATTGTTTTAGTTTCTTGAACTTTTTTCACGTTACACCTGATCTCAAATTTTTGATTGGCCAGAGAAGTTTTTTTATACTGGTATTTTTATTTTTTTTTGAATTTTACCCGAATTACATAATTTTACACCATATATTATACCAGTGTTTTATGCATTATATGTGGTTGTCGCTCAATTCCCCGAAAACTACTTACCCACAGTCCATTACCTGATATCTCATGGGGTGACAATTTAGCATTTAGTTAGCTATAGTTATATTTTATTAGTAAATTTTCATCTCGTGTGATGTCGGAATCGTACCGTAACCGGTTAGTATTAGCATTATTATCCATAGTACACGAATTGATAATATGGGTATAACTGTTGCATCTAAAGTAGCGATTTATCTAAAGTAGCGCCTGGCTAAAATTAAGCCCCTGAAATTAGATCTTCATGCATGCATTAGGTTATAATTTTAGCCAGGGCGCTACTTTAGATATATAAAGTGACTACTTTAGATAAATCACTACTTCAGATGCGACATAATCACGAATAAAACAAGATATAACCACAAATTTATGGTATAACGATAATCGACGTACGTATTAAAAGCTCTAAAATAAGCAAAAAATAAGATAGAATTTGATGGTATTAATCGATTTTAACCGCATACTTTTTTTTCAAAAAAAAAAAATCATATAACCAAATCTGGTTAAGCCACTCTCGATTATATATATATTTTTTTTTTAAAAAAAAAAAAATCATGAGGCTTACGCCCTTGCAACTAGTCCACAAAACCTGATAAATACCATGTCATGTGAAAGGATAACCAATCAGAAGAACGTATTTGTTCACACCACTTCATTGCACTCCGTTCCTGGTATAAATTAACTTTGCAACCTTTAAATTTCCCTATAATGCATTACTTAATTTATAAATTGACTATAGGATCTCTAAGTTGCATGACCCAAATAATACCCAGGGCATAATTTTAGGGAAATATACTTTACAAATTGAAATAATTTAAACCCTGTGATAGTGTTCTTTTATAATTTATTTAGTTTGTGGTATGGTGTAGTCACGAGTAAATAGATCAAAGTTGACTAAGTCAATTTTGTGAAAATTCGACTACTAAATCGACTAAGGTCAAATCGACTATATATAAACACTAACCGATCCCCATATACATGTAGTATAGAATTATATATAACTGAGACTTGCATATTTCGTGATTGAATAAATTCTAAATCATAATTACTTATATTTTGGTCATTAATAACTTTAATAAATTAAAAAAATTTCGATTTTTTTTTTTTTAATAACCTGCTTTTAATTAATTCAACATAAACAATTAAACAAATTTAATTTATCTGTGATCTAAACCTACTAGAATGATCAAAAACTCATCTAGATAATATCATTTATAGTTAAAATAAAATTAGAGGTTATGTAATACTTGATCTACAAAGTGGCCCAAATACTAATTTTTCTAAAGACCTGTCCAACAAGTAGACAGATTTCAGTATATAAATAAAGTTGATCAGGTTGATTACAGAAACAAGAATATATAAAATTTTAACAAGTATGTATATTATTTCTACTGTGAGAAAATGATATTTGTTGCTTAGTATATGTATTTCTAAAATTAGGTATAACAATTAATTTTTTCAACAATATTTCTTTAAAGTTGGTTGCTCGTTAAATTCATCTTAAAGTTTTATAATAAAACCCAATAAGCATTAGTTTCACAAACTTAGAATTTATCCATATTACTAACAAATTTTTATACAACCAATTATCTTATATCTATTTGAAATCTATTTGAAATTTATATTTGAATAAATTAGTTTATTTAGTCCTGGGGATCCCGGGGTGAAGTGTTATCCGCATCATGCATATCATCATCACTACATGTCCAAGTATCGTCTCTTGTACCAAATGAACCGGTGTCAATATTATACCAATTATTTGAATCCGAATCACCAGTACACCCAGCTACCGTATCAAAGATAAAACCATTGTTAGTTAATTGAGAAATTTCATAAGGAGCCAATTTATTAACAGTGGTTTGAATTCTATCATGATTTAAAACGATATGAGAGTTTCCATCATTAGTATCTTGATCAAAAAATTCTTCACTCTGCTTTTCTGTGACACCGTCAATAGAATCCTGAGAATCCACATCCCACATAACTATTTTATCCATTCCATTTGCTAAAATAGTAGATTTTATTGAGTCATCATCGACACCATCACCGTACGGAAACCGGAAATAACGTGGAGTAACGCCAAGAATTTTCTTAAACGCTTGATTTAAGAAGTCTAATTGATAGTTTAATTCATCGGAACTAACACCAGTCAAGTACGGGTGGGACCACGTGTGATGGGCTATTAGGTGACCTGAAGAATAAGCACGTTGTAAAATTTCAGCGTAATCATAGATACAATATTTATCTTCGTTGTGACCATTGATAAAGAATGAAGCTTTTATATTATTTTCATCTAACGTATCGAGTAAGTCATTCGTCCACTAAAAAAAAAAATTTGAAAAGAAAAAAAAATTTAAGTGAATATATGAATCTTAAAAGCTTTAAGGTTTTAAAATGTAAAATGCGTACAGAGCGTGGACCATCATCAAAAGTTAATGCTATAGTATTCAAATTGTGACAAGTGTAGATAACTTTTGGGCTACCATCAGTATTGTCGTCTGGAAGGCCGCAGTAACCATATCCTTCTTGGCATCCTTGATCTGGATCACAAAATTCTGTTAAGAAAGGAAATTATTTAAAAATTTAGAATTTAAACTAGGAAAATAATAATAATAATAATCATAGACAAAAATAATAATTTGAAAACATACCAGGTGTATCACCACAAGTACCCGATTGACCACAACAAAAAGTACCGCCACTAAAAAAAATAGAATCATTAAGTTTGAAAAAAAAATAAATATATTGAGGGAGGGTTTCAGAATTAAAATAAAGGAATTTAATTTTGGATGAAATGAATCTTATTTCGGCTTCAGATAATAAGCTTTTTTTTATGATTTCATTCCATTCCATTTTTTGATTTAAAAATTTTTGACACAAATAAGATTAATTTCGAAACCCTCATTAAGTTGTTATTAATTCAGTCAATAAACTATATACCATCTAACACCCGCATCGGGACCGCATGTATCATCTCTTGAGACATTACCACAGACACCATATCCTGCTTGACATCCATCACCACAATATTCTATTAGATGAGAGGAAAATTGGGATAAACTTAAATAATATATAGTAATATATGGAAATTTGAGTAAAAATGACAATCAAGGAACATACCAGATGTAGTACCGCAATAACCCCATTGAGAACAGCAAAAGTTGCTGTCACTAAAAATATATATATATGTATATTAGAAAATTAAGATAAATTAAGGTTAAGCTTGAAGGGTTTCAAAAATAAAAAAATAGCGTATATCTGAATATTCGAGATCGGAAAATAAAATGGAAGTGTTTAAAGACTCCCATTTTTATGAAATTAGTAATTTCTAACAAAGACAATTAATTTAATTTATTAAAGGAATAAATAGATTCTCGCATCTTGCGGGTTCAAAATTAACAAATAGGTAGAGCATTTTAAAATTAAATAGGATTTTAAATAGTATTTTTACTATGCTGAACTATAAATCAGAAAAATAAAATGGTTTTCTGATTTTAATTTTGAAACCTCATCAATAAATTAAAATATACCAATTAGTGCCCGTGTCAGAACCGCATTCTTGAGCACTTGATATATTTATGAAATATAACAATGTTAGGATTAAAATTGAATAATTAATTTTATGCATTTTTGTAAGTGCCGAGACTTGGCTTTCTCAGAAAATGGTTAAATGAATGTATATTTCGTATAGAAAAATAAAATCTGAATTGAATTCAGATGAGAAAAATTCTGATAAGATGACGATATAAAAGAATTTGGATGATTAGACTATATATATAAGACAAAATCAGTTGTAGCTAAAATACGATATTAAATGACTAAATACTGTAATTAATTGCTCGCATAATACATATTATCAACGGGATAACCGCTTAGATTTCATTACAGCAATTTTAGCATCAGTCGTACCAAATAAATAATGTTTAGATTCACAAGTTAATTACTATGATAAAACGAGACCTTTCAATGATGTCAGAACACCAATCTGACATACACTTAATTTAGGACTTTAGCAGACGTTAAAAACTATACGTATTGTTGTGTTCCAAATTGGTAAAGATTTACCGATAGATTTTACGTAATTTCAAATGCAAGTTTAATTAAAAGCATAGTGTGGGTGGTATAAGCAGCAATATAAATATGTGTTTTAATACGTACGTACGTATGTATGTATGTATGTAGTATTCTGAACGGTACTACGTTCAATATTAAATTTTGTACAACAGTTGGTTATTTATTCGATCAGATTACACGGAAAATCCGGTCGCTATTATTTCTGAGCATCGGTATAAGACAGAACTACGAAATTATCTAAAAATGAAACAATCAAATTATTCATAAATTTTGCAGTAAAGTAGAACCGAACGCTTACAACAGGAGGAAACGTACCCGAGACAAACTGTGACGGATTATATTTGTAACATTGACAGTTAAATGGCATGATTGTTTTTGTGTGCTGCACACTAGGTGTGTAAGAGATTAAGTTTGGACCAAGCACGTTCCTCCCGTTGACGCATACGCGGCCGATTATACTTACCGCAAAATTCCACTTATACTTAAGGATGGTAAAAATCGTTTAAATTATTTAAATCATTTGATCATTATTAAGTAATCATTAGCAGCGTAAGGCATATCGTTACTACACTAAAACTATCGTTATGTACAGTACATAGATATATATATTTTTTAATTTAAATCATAACTAATCCTCGTCTTAAAAACCAAATATCTTCTCCGATACTTTCAGAATTTTTAATTTCTTCACCCGGGTATTGATTAAACGTGTGCGATGAATGTAGAGGGATTTTATTGTGATTGGCCAATTTTGGTAGATCATCCCGTGATATCATAAAAATTTTATTGGTTAATCGAAAATATAAACTTTAAATCGTAAATCGTTACGAATAAAGAAACTTCTGCGTATAAAATAATTATATCTGTGACGAAATTAAATACCAGCAAAAGTTTTTACCATTAGATCTCAATAGTTTTAAACCTAAAACTGTAATATTGTCGCAGACAAATTCTAACAAAGCAAAATTTACTTTAAAAAAAACTAACATATATGAGTCAAAAAAGAAGGAAAAACAAGACAAAAACGAAAAATGTAAAAAATAAATGTTTAAACCTATCCTAGAATGCTAATAACTAATAAAAAATAATCTGAAACAACTCTTAATACTTGTTCCAATATCAAGCTGCTCTTTAATTTTATTTACAATAATAATCGTTATATAATTACAATGTACTACTTCGGTTTAACTGTTAATTCTATAAACCTTATATATAACTCTTAACTTAAATAATTAGGGTAGCTGTGCAGCGTGTGACGCGGCGCAGGAACAGTACGATCATGTACGCCGTTGTGAAAAGCTCAAGGAAATCAATTTATCTATTCTCTTTTTTTTTTTGCTTTCTTCTATTATTAGTTTCTAGTTTTTTTTTTGCTTTAGTAGAATTAGACTCCATAACTTCTCCAACGCAACCTATACTTTCTCAATAATTTTTACCAAGTAAATTAAATCAGATAATAACTATATTACTGATTCTCCGTAACTATAATTATGAAGATAATGAAAATAATAAGTGGTGAAAAATGAAACTCAAGCTCAAAAAAGAAACAAAAGGTAAAATTTCACAACAAGTTTTTTAAAACTTACACTAACCTCTATTCTACCTAACCCTAACGATTATAAGATCCACCTCATTTTACTGACACTCATTTCGTAAACACAATACTCCACTAACAATCAATTTACCAACATGTTCATTTCACCAACAAGCTTAATTCACTGACATTCAATTCACTGACAAGTTAAATTCACTAACCTTAACCATAATTCTGGTATAATTATTTTATCAGTGAATTGAATGTTAGTGAATGAGCTTGTCGGTGAATTATGGCTGTTTTCATAAATTTTGGAACACCTAAAAATTTTCTTGTTTGCTGAAACCTTTTCGATCTTGTTTTAAGAATCATTTAACTTTTCGAAAACTACTTTGCTGATCTTGAGATTTCACTATGGAGACAGCGAAGTGGTTTCCAAAAAGTTAGATGATTCTTAGAACAAAATCGAAAAAGTTTCAGGAAACATGAAAATTTTTAGGTGTCCCAGAATTTATGAAAACAGCTGTAAGTGTTGGGTAAATGGACATGTTGATGAATTGATTTTTGATAAATGTTGTGTTTAAAATGAGTATCAGTGAAATGAGCAGAACCATAACGACTGGAATCACTTTGTGAAATAACTGATTGTAAATTAAATTTTGTCAATAGCGTAAAAATTTGTTGCATCATAATGAGATAAATTTTGAGATGTTAGCTTTGCATCATAATTGAGTGATCTACATGCGGAATTATGTCATACGGTATGTAAAAATCTTAACTCCTTCTGAAAATGGATAAATAAAAATCATTACCCTTTCTAAAATAGGATTTTTTCAAAATTTGCTAGACCATGTCCAAAAAGTTGAACAGAACCATCCCTCTCATATTTTATATAATCATACTGGTATAGTCAGATTTCAATATCCTAATGCTTTCAGTAATTTGTTTAATATGCGAAACTACTTCTATTGACATATTTTATTATATATTTTTTAAGTTTAAAGTAAATTTTTGGTTTACATTCAAAAATACTTTATATTAAATTGAGCAAATCTTTTTAAAGATCAAAATCAAATTCAAAAAAAATGAATCAAATTCAAGTTAATATCTAAAATTATATTAAACCTAAATTGGATCTAATCCAATCTCTATAGAATACCTTTTTCTAATTGGTCAATTACTTACAATTATATTTCTACAGTTTAGAGTATTTTATAAAAATGTAACATTTCACAAGTAAAGAATGAAAATTAAAACTGCTCTATCTTCAGTGAAGTTCCAACAATTACTATGCAAACTGTCTCCACCTTCAGTGAAGCTCCAACAATTACTATGCAAAATAATCCAAAAAAGATCTACAACCTAAAGGTATTTTGCTTAAAAGATAAAATTTCTACATACTATAATTATAAAACTATATGTAATTGACCTGCGGGTCGATAGCAAAGTGGTTACGCTCCCAGGTTACCAATCGCAAGGTTGCCAGTTCAAGTCCAACGGGGGACGAAAAACTGAGTTAGGA